GGGCCTCCGCGGACGACCCCCTCGCCGAGCGGCACCGCTGCGATACTAACATACGCCACAACGACCGCTACCCGGAGGCGAGCGAGGTTGACGACCTCGACGTCGAGATCGTGGACGCGCTCGCGCTGGAGACCGGCAACCTGCCCGACCTCACCGAGGACCGCTCCTCCTCCGTCGACGACTCGACGCGCCGCGACGACCTCACCCCGGACGCGCTAACGCCAGAGGACTCGCCCTACCTGAGCGCCCTGCTCGGCCTCGAGCGGGCCGGCGGCGGCGAGGGCGAGCCGTCGGAGTGGGAGAGAGCGGCCGGCGCCCGCGACTGCGCCCGGCTCGCCCTCGCGCTCGACTACTGGCGCGCCTTGCTGCGGCCGCTCCCCGAGCTGCGACGCGGATGCGCGTGGGGCCGCGCCGAGTGCCACTGCGCCGCCTGCCGCCCCGACGGGCGACCCCCGCTGGCCGGTGAGACGATCTCTTCGGTCGAATACTGATCGCCACTTGTGACGCGGGCGAGCCTATATTGAAAAATATTCATTCGGTAAAGTTAATTGTAATTTTTGCGCGTGCAGGCTGGGTGCGCATCGAGCGAGCGGACGCGGCGGGCGGGGCGGCGCGCGCGTACTGGCCGTTGGCGCGCGCGGCCCTCGCGGCGGTGCGCTCGTGCCCCGCCCGCGCCCGCCGGCCTCGCCGCCCCTCCGCCCTCACGCCCACCCTCGCCCGTCTGCCGGCCTCACTCTACGACGTGTCAGTATATACACCACTGCCACGCGTCGCCACGCACACCGCTACCGTCACCGATAAACGATATAAAGATAAAATTTAAATTTCCCTTTCAGATGGTTCGACGAAGAGGGCAAACCGCACCGCGCCGCGCTCGCCCTGGAGATAGATGTCGAGTAAGTAACTATAAGACTCGCTCGCCTTTTTCTGTCTTCTCCTCAAGAGAAGCCACGTCCTCTTGCTCTAAACGCATTCGTTGATCTCACTTAACAACTTTTCACCTATAGTCTGACATTCCATTTTTCTAAACATTCCGCGTCAATTGCAGGGGAAAGACACCGGAGAGTGATTGTATGCTGGCCGTCCTCATCTATCTGAAGCCTCACTCCACCTCGGCCGACAGTCCATGCCCCCTAGAGGAGTGAGAGAACCCCGGCAGCCAGGGAGAGGGTCTAGGCCCTACATCTCGGTGCAAGTAAACCGATGTCACTGACACCAGTCAACGGTAGACCAGTGTCATAAATGTCACAATTCAAGTATAGTGTGACAAACTTATCTGGCCTTGTAAACAAAAGTAAAAAAGTTGACACACGGCTTGTCAATATTACAAATGACAATATCTCGTCATGTCCTTGTCTTGTCATTTTCTATATTAAATATATTTTGTGTCAAATCTTAGCACTATAACATTGCTACTGTCAACAGATATACATCAATGACAGTAAGTTGAGCAACGTTTAAATGTTTCCAATTGGACGGTGCTATGGCGTCGATCTGAAATACAAAATGGCGGTTACGTAAATGTCATACTGCCATTTTGTTCCTATCGTAAATTATGTCAAGGTTACTATATGACATATTACTCAGAACTATATGTTTTTTTATGACATTGTCACGATAGTCGTGTAATTTGTCATTTTTAACAACGAGGCTGTATTATTCTACTTTGTAGTTGTAATTCCAAACATTAATTATAAGTATTTATTTTTTTAGTTATAATTTGCAATATTTAAATGTAATTTAAGTTTTAAAATTACGATTTTTTTTTTGATGAAATTAAATAATAATTTTGCCTTGTAGTCATTTGTGAATGTATTTATTATATACTATGTGAAAATATACTATTTCTATATATAACATATTTATATTTGAATAATTGTTTTTTTTAAATGTAATTTCGTCATAAATCTCCATAAACTCAAAGCCAAAATAAAATATCTTTGAAAATGCACCTTAAATAATAAAATACACAACAAAATATATATTTATTTTACATAAATACACATTCCAAATAAATTCTCTATATAAAGTAATTCTAACTATTTGAAACTTTACTCTTACATATCTGATATTACCATCAAATAGTATTTGTTACTTATAATTATAATATTCGAGAATTGTTACAACAATACGTAAGTAGCAGTAGTTTGGTTTATATAATATATAATGGAATTACGAATGGTTGAAATTGTATGAAATAATCAAATGCACTTTCATATTATATCTATATATGTTAATAAGCGATAAAATAGATTTCAGCTATGCTACATTTAAACCACTTTTTCACAAATCGTATGCGCGAAACTGCTTTATCTAAAAGAAATGTTACTATTTCCATTAGCATAAAAATAGTCGTGACAGCCTTATCTCATGATTAGTCGCGCTAGTTGAAAAGAGGTTTTAGGTGTATTAAAACAAGCAACACACCAGTGGAAATCTATTGTCATGATGACAAAATACAGCGCATGCGTTTTGTCGCTTCTTTTTTAAATGTTTTATGAAATGTCTATTTTTGTGTTAGTAGATATATCATTTTAATTTGCATACTGTTGCATATAATACAGCTTATGATGTAGTGCTATATATGTATAAAAAAAGGATCTACGCTTTGATTTTTCCGAGGCCAAACAAGGTGACTATCATATTTATGGTTTAATTAAAAAAAAGATTGAACTTAATTTTAATTTAAAAAACAAAAAACCTGACTGACAGTCACTTATAGATGAAAAAGCGTTATTGTTTGCGTTTTAAAATAGTTTAAATTCAAATTAAGTAAACTGGAATTGTATATAAAACTTTTTATTAAATCGAAGACATCGAAAGAAAAGTTTAACAATGAAAAAGAGTTATCGCGAGTGACATTTGAAGTCTTTCTTTTATGTTATTTTTTTTTAATTTTGTATGTCATGTCCGATGTTTTGTGCCGATATATCGAAACGTCACTTGTCAAAATCGGTTCAGCCGTTTTGGCTCTAGGCTGACACATTTACATACATAAATACAAACAGACATACGCTCGAAAACCGTTACCCTCTGTCAGTCGGGTAGCAATAAGTTAGTTTTATTTTGTGTGCTAATCTGCTTTATTTTATTTAAGCCATGTTGATTTTTTGTCTGTGATTTATGGCAGCGACAAAATTGATAATTAAATTAAATATGTTCATTGTGTTCATTTGCTTTAATGATTTATTTCAATAATAATTCTTATTATATTATTTCGATTTCGAATATTTTTTTTTTTAATTTATCATATGATTTTTAAAATTATAAAATTAGAAACTAATTAAAAACAAAAACATCGAGATTAGTAATAAATATTTTAGTAGAGTATTTTTATTTAATATTGATAATATTTATTAAAGGGTTGTGTCTGATATTTGCTACTGTATTGTTTTGGTTCGGTACACTGCCTCAGAGTTACTTCCTTGTGCTCATGTGTTTACAACTCAATATTGAGAATATAATAAATAGATTTCTTGAATTCAGTGTGTGTGTTTTTTTTATATAAACAGTCTGAAACCCCTTATTTTTAATCTTATCAAATATCTTGAAGATCCAAGGTCATGGGCGTAAATAATTATAGTAAATAGAAACACAAATTAATAAAAAAAATGATTTAATGTCGGTGTTCAAAAAAGAGTACAAATGTACAATCAGTTCACCTTATGTTGTATGAAAAAAACCTTACCGCCTTTATTTGCACGAGCGTTTTTTTATCGCGCGTTAAAAATCGTTCAAATAGACGCATACTCATGTGTCTGGTTATACGGTGGAGCTTTTAAAGCACCGCTTTATCGCGCAGTGTTGCATTTTGAGCGTCGGCAAACGGAACAAGAGTGATTTTAAAGCGTTCGTGGCTCGAGAGTCGGAAACGCCATTTTAACGCGGCGTTAAAGAATCGCCCGTGCGCATGAGGGCTGATGATTTTGTACGGACAGACAGATGACATAAAATTATCACTACCAATATGCAAAACAAGATGGTGACTGAACAACACAAACTATAATCTAACCAAGAATATAAAAATCCTGACCTGAGGGCACTTTAATCAGTTTTATAACATTTCTAATGTGCCCAATGAAATTAGTTCCAAATTTTTCCGCAATATGGCGAGGATTTTTCATATTTCTGATCAGGTTATAAATACAATTCTTATAAAATACATTATTCTACTACAATGAAAAATTACCTATAGAGTATATTATGTTATCAAGACCTTTTTGAACGTGTTATAGTTTGTTTAATAATGAGATGTAATTTTGAATATTTATTTGCCAAAATCATTTGAATCTATGGCTCTAAGGCCATACACGGAGCACAGTTTTCAGTAGCCATTAAAAATGCAGTTGGACGACCGTGTATGGCCACCTTTGTTTGTAAACTATATATACTAATTATTTATAGGCAATTTATGGGTTTTAAGTAAAAGTATGCTTAAGATTTTTTTGCATTACAGCATAGTTTTAACTCTACATTGATTAAAATGATTTTTTAATTAACAAAATTGGCAACACTCTAATAAATTAAAAGACTTAATTGTAATAAAAATCTCCTAACGACTCATCATATCTTAGAATATATTTAAGTTAAGTTTATTACAAGAAAATATTCAATGGGTTTCCACAAAACCAAATATTAAAAAAAATACGTACAGTTTAAAAGCATTCTATTTTTATTGTATTATTTTTTTTAATAAATACATTAAATTCTCGACAACAATTTGATTTTAAATAAGCAAAAATTAATTACTAATAATATATGTAAATAATTAAATAAATATTTACAAGAAAAAATTCCTCTAAAGATTCCTCATATGTTATTTTGAAACACGGAATTATTCTACTTATGTTATCTGTGCGAATGCCGGGACATTTGAATTAAAATATCACTATCTCTATCATATTCATTTGAAAAACAGCGACAACAATATTTGTGCGACAACTGACACGGTTAAAATGTTCTTTACCACTTTATCTATCCTAAAAGCTGAATTAATTTATACATTAAGATCTATATAAATGTCAGAACCGTTCCTATTAACGCATTACTTTCAAAAGCAACAGACTGATAGCATTTTGAACTTTAATATAGTTAATACGGTTAATTCATTTTATAATTGGATTTTCACATCAAATCTTATATATAATATTCTCGTATCAGTTACCTCCTCCTATACTCATCTGAACTGGCTTAACTGATCTTTATGAAATTTTATATGTATTTTAAGTAAGTTAACTACTAACCAGCTACAATTTATTTTTTAATTCTGTGCGCACGGAGTCGTGGGCGATAGCTAGTGTAATTTACATTTTACTTACATATATGCGATATAATGGAGTAACTATGAAATCGATTTATGTATTTATTATGTTTTATTACCTACGTTGTATTATTATATATCAATTAAATGGATATCCGATAATATGTTATATACTTTTATGTAGTCTAGTTTTTTTTTTTAAATGTAAACTGGATAAGTGTTATAAATGTATATTTACACAAAATTTAAGGGACAATGAACTCTATTTATATATTTTTGTTTTTTTATTTTATGTATCTTTTTAATATGTATTATATAATGAATTAGAATGACAATAATATAAAGAACAATGTTAAGTATTTTTACAAGCCTTTGTCTATTTTTTTTAAAGGCAAAATATTTCCGATTATTTGATACTGTGCACACTTCTAATAGTTTAAAAACTTATCTTATTTTAAATTTATTATTATTTCGAAGTAGAATGTAATTGAAATCATAAAACATCGACAATTTATATGCAGTACAGAATTTTGCTTCACGAAATTAAAGAGTTGAGTTATTTTTTTACAAGTGCGTTTGATATGTACATGAATCTTTCTCCTCTAACTTTTCTATTTTTTTTTATATATATACACACAATATTTTATTTATATAGGTAATTATATAAAGTGCATGACTACATATGTATTTATAGAATATTGTTTCGATATTATGATATAAAACACGAAATAACTTCACTAAATTAATTTTCTTAGGAAAGTCTCGGGAAAATCTGTTCAACAACCTGGGTAATTGCTAGGTGATTTCCTCATACTGAGTGGGGGAGGACATCGATATTTTTTCGTCGGTTTCGGAGGCTGAGTTGTCGTAGACTTGGCAGGCTCTGCTTTATGGTTATTCTGAGGATAAAGGTAGGATAGGAACTGGCTGTGTATTCTTAATGAATTTATCAATGAAATGGTTTTCTTGTTTGCTTTGGGAATTTTCTTTTTAGTACCCTCTGAGGGAGGGTCGGCTGTGAACTACCAAACCTTGCATTTAATCTTTGGATTCATGGGCGAGCCGAGGGGGCAGGAGTAGTCGCGGGAGAATTCCTCCATGTTGGAGAGAGGGCCGAGGACACGGAAGCGGCCTGGTGCGTGGAAGCCGGTGGTGATGCGTAACTTCATCGCTTCTTTGCGGTATACTGAGCACCACGTGCTCGCAGCGCTCAGCCAGAACAACTGCACATATAATAAACAAAATTTACTAACTTCTTAGTTTAATAATTATTATTATCAATCACCTTAAAATTAATTACTTATTAATTTTTACTATAAAAAGAAAACTTATAAGGCTTCATCACACAAAATAAATTCCAGCTTGATACCTTCACGCGTTTTTAAGAAAAAGTGACAGGCAGACGGATGGACAACAAAGTGATCCTATTAGGGTTCCGTTTTTTTCCTATGAGTTACGGAACCCTAAAAATGACGTCCTTCACTTTACTATAATTTTCATACCATCTAGTCAACTATGTTAGTTATGTACGAGTATATGTTCAACTAGTTAGTGTAAATAATGTTATTGAACCTGTTTGGGCGTGTATTTCTCTAATCCTGGAAGACGTGGCTCCTCGCCGTGCCTCTTGACCCAGGCCTCGTAAGCATGGTAAGCTCCCTTGATACCGCCGTTGTCCGCTATGTTCTCACCCTGAGTGTTCACACCATTTAACTGTGGACAAAGAAATGTTATAGTTAATATAAACTCAGTACAATTATTATTTAGTAGTAATAATTTTATTTTACTAATATTATAAATGCGAATATTTGGATGTATGGATAATTGAAGAATACATAAGCTATTAATTATGTTTATTTTTTTCCGTCCAGACGGAGTCGCATGCAACAGCTAGTATTACTAATATTATAAATACTAATAATTGGATGTATGGACAGATGGATGGATGTTTGTTGCTAGATGCCTCAAGAACGGCTGTATGGATTTAGCTTTAATTTTGAATTGACGTAAAACATAGTCTGGAAGAATGCAGACTAATATATATTATTTTAATTCTGCGAAGTCATACATCTCTAGCATAGATTTTTATGCTCTTTTGAAGCTAGTTAAATTAGAAATTACACGAGAATTTTTTTTCTTTTAAGTCACCGTAATTTACCTTGAGACCAACTTCTTCAACAGTATAATTTGAGTACTGATCGATGATGCATTTAGCTTTCTTCAGATATTTCTGCTTCGTCTCCTCTTGCCACCAGTCCACCAGGTTACCGTCTTTATCGAATTGACGACCCTAAGGATAAGAAAAGATAAGCAAGCAATTTTAAGAGGCTGAAAAAACTCTTTGATAATTAAAAACATAAAGTCTAGAATTAAAGCACTTAAAACTAGAAAATTGAAGATTTTTAAGTGTTATTAAAAAAATCCTTAGACAAGATGAAAAATCGACATTTAAAGTTTCCCTTAGCAACTGATTAATGACTGTGAGTACGGTAGTATTGTATTGAATAACAATATTGACCTGGTCATCGAAGCCGTGTGTAATTTCGTGTCCTATGACGAAGCCGATTGCGCCGTAGTTCATGTAGGCAGGTCGTAAAGCTGAGAAGAACGCTCCTTGTAGGATGCCCGCAGGGAATTCTGAAACAAGTATGCAATTAGAAACTTCTAGAAGAACCAGCCTCGCTTTGTTGTTGTGACTGATTGCCACTGTTTGCCTTGAGGGGGCATTTACAGCTTCACCGGGCTTGAGGTGGCCGAGCGCAGATGGCACTTAGCCTAAACCTCGTTTAAGAGTAACTAAGCTCGAGGGCTCCCTCAGGAACCTCGGCTCGGGCCGTTACTTCGTTATTATTACCGGATTGGGAGGCCGCCGAGCTCAACCAGCCTCGCATCAGTTCATGTATCAATAGCCTAATGGTTAAGGGAACGGATTTTGGTTCACGTGGTCAGGGGTTCGGATCCCGCCATTCGACTATTGCCGTAAACCATGTTCTAGCACAAGCTTAGATCTTAATTGGAATGGTACAGGAAATATTAGTAAATTTAAAAAAACAACCAATATCAAAAAAACATTAAAATCCTGGCCCATCGAGAAAGATAAGATAAGATTAAGAAATAAAAATTTAAATCAAACTTTTTTAACCTGCAATTTTTTATTGCTAATAGACACGACTTAAAAAAAGATTTTTTACCACACAGATACAGGAGAAAGAAATACACAGAAATTAATAAGAAAAAATTTAAAAAAAAGTGTGGCAAAAGGCGCCAGCTTAGCGTATGTACGGACAACCTAAACAGTTTGAGCTGGTTTGGTTTTCAGTTGACTCCTTTCCATCCACCAGAATAATGGAAGAGATAAGTCAACTCTTACCAACTGCGATAAACACATTTAATTAAATAAAACTATCGATTTCATATTTTGTTAATGCAATGTATTATAATAAAATAAATATACTAACGTATGCTGTTCTCTATGGAAGAGTAGAATGCGTTGACGATGGCGGGTCTGCCGTGTGTCACCCAGTCAGTCTTATTGACAGGCTGTCTCAACTTCTTGAACAGATAGTCGGTGCCGAATAGCGTCAGATTCAACACTGACTCCATTAACTTGTCTTCAGACATCACCAACTATAAACAACACAAATATTAATCACAAGGTAAAGTTTTCTTAACTTATATGTTATTAACGATTTTTGTAAGGGACAACAAACACGGACTGCTTTAAATAATCGACAGTAGTTATGCCATACACGGACAGCAATTTACGTTAGCACGCCGACTTAACGCAGTTCGTGTAAGTCGGCCCTAAAACTTACCCCATCATAGAACTCTGATAGCTTTTCATCGCTAAGCATTTCGTCAGGGTATGCGATGTGTGCGGCCATCGCGTCTGCTTTAGCGAGGGCGGCGCGGCGCGTCTTATCGTCCATCCATTCGACCTCCTCCAAGGTACGGCGGAACTGCTCCCTGATGTCCTCAACCATCTCCAATGCGTTCTTCTTTGAGTTCTCGTCGAAAAACTTACGGATGTATAACGCGCCCACAGATATTGACAAGCTGTAAATATTAATTATTTCAATGGTGTTCACAAAGAATTTAGTAATTAACAACGACGAATTATAACGTAATAAAATAGTCAAAATATAAAGACTTTATTCTTCGTCTTGAAATGAAAATTATTTGTCCTAAATCTTTTAATTAGTGTAGGTAGTTGTAAAAATATTTCCTTGATAAATAATTTCTGAACTACTCTACTCATTGTTTGTATTATGCGTGTGTTGTGAGTTTCACATGTGAGTGTTGTGAGGTTTAGTGTGAGGTCTTGGTTACCTCATGCTGGTGGTATCAACACACTCCTTCCAGCGACTCTCGCGCTCCGTCTTCCCGGAAAGTGCGGTGACGTAGCTAAGTTGCCGACGCCGCAGTTCGTCTGTCAGGTAAGAGATTGAGGCGCCCGCCACACGCCACATCACGTAGTTAGCCTGCACGCGCTTAGGCGTATTCTCCAGGATTTGCTATATAGATATAACATGTGAAAATATTTATCACCGGTATAAGTCCGCATAAAATATATCGTTATCCCTGTCTTTCGTCTTGAGAGAACAGAGATAACAATATGTTTTAAACGAAAATTTAGGGCTCAGAAACCCAGGGCTAGTCGTATAAATATAAATACATACCTCTAGACTTGTGATGTAGGTGGGCACGTTGACAATGACGACCTCGTCCATGTTAATATGGATGTGAGGAGACAGCAGGCGGTTTATGTATTTCATCCAATCCACTCTAACAAAAGTAAATTCTTCATATAAAACAGAATTCTTAAAAATAATGTTAAAATTTATTTGTTAATCAATAATATTGCTCGGTTGAAGGTTTAGATGAGTTAAATCTATATTAAAAAATAACCCCTAAAACAATTCCTTAAATTTCTCAAAAGTTACAAATATTTCCTTTACTTTTTACCCTTTGTCCAATTAGTCTCATTATTAATTAAAACTAGCGATCTGTTTTAACTTCGATTTACATTTCCGAAGGCGGATTACATTTATCCCTAATTATTTGGGTTAATTAATTTCTTTTATAAAAAAAAAGATCAACAATCATTTCGACTTCCAACTTGAATAAAATGTCAAGATTTTGCCATTCTTCCAAATTTTTTTAATCTATTTTATTTTATCATTCTATTTTTTACTTACTTTGGGAAGCGTTTTTGCAGTTGTGTTACAGTCATTGGGTTGTAGAGAGCTGTTGCGTTACGACGTTTCTCCAATGGCAAGGAAATCTACAATAGAAATAATATTGTCTAAATGTAATCCAACACAGTAACTAAAAACCACCAGTACAAAAAAAACCGTCTTCTTAAGTACAGCAACTTATCTTTGGTTTTAGAAACCAAAATCATTGTATAAAACAGAATATCGTTATCTCTGTTTTAACAAAGATAATGACAGAGATGACAATATGTTTCTTATACAAAGAGTTTGGTCAAAGAAAGTAACGATTGGACGGATTTTGAAACAGCAGCACTTCAGCCTAAATGCCTTTATTCCTCGCATATGCTTACACTAAAACTGTCTATATTATTTACAATATTATTTCACAGAACGCTATTCGGGACTACATCTCGTTGTTCACACTTCCCGCGCTTTTCTCTCTCTTTACATCTATCCTTTTTTATAATTAAAAAGGCAAAGGTTCTGATTAGTATGCCATCTCTTTGGCAGAATAGTAATTCTGCACTCAACAGAAAGTCCAAACTAAGTACATATAAAAAACATTTTATTATTTATGGCTGAAAGTGTTATTATTATTCACGTTTATAATAATTTAAAAACATTTCTGTTCAAACTTTAAATTTCACAGTGAATTTCGTATAAAAATATAATTATGTAAAATGATTCTGTGAAATCTGTTGCTTTTCCGTTCCCTTTGTCCCCGTTGAATTAATTATCCCGCCATTTAATTAAATTTCAATGTTTGCGATGTATTTTACAAATATTTTATATTAATTAACGATGATAAAGAATTCACGGTTCAATATATTCATTTTGGACGTCAGCCAATAATTTTAACATACAAAGCAAAATGAAGCATCACAATAATAAAGTTGCCATTTTCAGTGTGAATTTGGATGTAAAATTTCTCTTTGTTGTTTTACTCACTTCACATGCTCGTTATGAAATGGTTTCTGCCGGCCGTTGTGTCAAATGAATGAGGGAAAATTTTTGTCAAAGGAAAATTTAATTAATTTTACAAAATAAAACCGATCCTTTTAGCTTCAAATTAATTAAATTTGTTCTTTAATATAGTGCTCCTAGTAATTAACTTGTATAGTAAAATAGTAAGTTCTTATATTGCTAGTTTTTTGTTAGGACAATAGATGGCGTTAGTAGTGTGACACTCTCGTCTTGGAAACGATTTTGTATTTCGCTAAATAAATGCTAATAAATGCAATTGTGCTAAAAACATTAGTAACAAACAGAACATAGATTGGGGAATACCCGAGAGTAAATGCTGGGTTTGACTTTTGCAGCAAGTTGCTTACACTTTTCAAACTGGATTTTTGAATAAGAAAACTTTTATCGCAAAATACATAAATTGTTTCAATATAGTTTAACGACAGTTATCATTGTCGTAACTTAAAGATTAAAAATAGACCTCCGTCGGAATCAAAAGTTTAGACATGAGTTAGCCGTTATTATTTTATTAGCATCATAATTCAAATATAAAGTTATCATTAATGATTGATTTATCATTAATTATCCCAAAGTCAATAAATACCGAATATATTTAACGATGTTTCAATATTCAATTGAAACAATCTGATATAATTAGGTCAGTGTGTTCCGAAGTAACTTTTACTCTCGGTCACAAATGTTTCCTTGTCATAAAACAGCGCGAATCGTAAATCTTAATGATTGTTTCGGACAGATAATTAAAATGTTGCCCGAAGTTTAGGTCGAGTTATGTTACCTTTATTATATGCACTCATTCATATTGTAATGGAGATCAAAGTATCAGATTTTATCGCTTTCCTGTTCGGAAATACTTAGGAAAAATCTTGTTAATAATTTTTAAAGAAGTATAAAACTTGCGTAAAAATTGCAAGAAGTTTTATATTGAATATTCCACGTGTATTGTAAACAATTTCTAACAAGTCTTATTTATAATAGGATTGTTTATGATTATGTTGTTGCAGGGAAGAAAGTATTTAAGTAACACAGTTGGTTATAAGTTTATCATACACAACATAGAGACCGTGAGTGTGAAATACAATGAATAACGATCTAATAACTTCAATCGTTATTTTACATAAGTATAAAGCGTATATTGTCTAGGTTGAAGAAAACAATGAATTAGAAACACTGACTGGTTTTCGAAGACGGTTATGATGTACTGATGGATGGATGTTTGTTAGGTACCTGCAGAACGATTAAACGGATCATGATTAAATTTGGCGCAGATGTAGACTATAGTCTGGAAGAACACATAGGCTACTTACTAAGTTCTTTTTTTAAGACTGCGAGGATGGAGTCGCGGAATAAAGTTAGTTTAAAATAATACTCACATTGGCGAGTGTGATTTCGAAATTGAGCGACTCCCTGAGTTCAGTCTCGGCGCGTTTCCTGTCGGCACCAAGCAGCACTGAGATATCGACCATGTAAGCGTAATACGCTTGCACCAGCTTGTCATCGAAACCGTGACTGAGATACTCCCGGCTGAGTCCTAGCGACGCCTGATCCAACTGCACAGATCAACATCATTGTTGAAAAAACGCCTTACAACATAATAAAAATACCAAAATTAATCGCTAAGCTGACGCTAGCACAAAACATTCGCAAAATATAGTTCAACCACATAATGCAAACTCGCTCAGCAATATACAAAACAAGTCATTCTCAAGATCGTTATGTAAAATGTGACAACCCTGCATGCATTTAAGCGAACGTCGCTCACCAAGCATTACAATTTACAGTTTAAAAAAAAAAAAGAAGACACTATAGCAGACAGCCTCAATTCTATAATAAATTATTGCATAATTTAAAACATAAATAGCTAAACTATAGTAACAGGTTATTATCAGAACACCAGTCTTACATCGATAATCCTCTTAGTAGAGTTCTTGACGTCGACACTGATGGAAAAGTCTAAGAAATAGTCGACGGAGTATCCAGCTGTGCGGAAACGGAACACGGAGTCGTCCCAGGCGAAGGCGCGTTCGTTCCAGTTGTCACCTTCCAGCACAGGCCAGCCGCCAAGTCCCTTCATCATGTCGAGCAGGGGTTTCGCTCCTCGTGCCTCAATCACAGCTGCAATCCAACCATTTCTTAGTACTCTTATCAATAGAATATTTATAACAATGACATCGATAAACTGGTTAAAATGGGTCCTCGTGTATTTGAATCTAATAAGTACGAACAAAACTTATTTTGAGTGGAAGTTTTTTACCTACGATGCACTATAATGTTTCAGGCAACGATGATTTTATTCTTTTAACGATATGTTTTAACAATTAGTTTGAACTCTTAACCTACTTTTGTTTAAATAATGATTTAATTTTGGTCAACGGATATGTAAGTTTACGACTCGGGTTCGATTCCGTGCCTTATGCAGTCTCGATGTGAGCGAATTGTTTGCGGAAGTGACGTCACCCACTCACTTTCACCTCCGGCAGGTAACGTAACGACCCGTGTAATTATCAAACAGCCATCACATATGTTATCCTAAAAATTGCGTATTTACATTTGTTACGCTTTAACATATCTTTTCAGACTCTTGTGTCAAGAAGTAGTCAATTTTGGAAAATCTTTGATATTCATTTATGACAGCTTAGTAAGTCAACGACATCTACTGGGCATTACCAATTAATCGAATGATGCAGCGTCGAGTACTTTCACACTAGGGCAGAACATTGAGTGTAGTAGGACAGTGTAGTGCCGTTAATTTTTAACGCGTACTCACAGTCGAAACTGTTTAACCACGGATGCGTTCAATAGCAGTACTGCACATCATTGCGCCGTGTACTTCCCTCGTGGAAAATCATGCTTTATTGACTGGTGCTAATGCTTATTGATTTGACCAAGCGAGTTGCCTGAATCAATACAATTTCAAGACGAGCACACGACTTCATTGAACGGATCATATATATCATTACAATGAACGTATTATAAAAAAAAACTAGCCAGTTACACTACGGTGTAAATAAAAAAAATAACCATTGTAAGATTGTAAGACAATATTATATCAAAAAATTCCCACATAAGCGAACCTAACATTCTCTTTATAAAATTCAGATAAGAACATGTTTTAAAACATGTTTTTTTTAGATATGGAAACCCAGGAATGTTGACACACTTCACGCGACCCAATAGGTCAAATTTTAGTCAACGTATAGATCTTAGAAAATATGAAACTAATGTGTAATTCAAAGTTATAAAAGCTACATTAAATAATATGTGTGATAAAATTACTAGTAGATAAACGAATCAGCGCGGACTTATCGAGGTCCGTCCGTAAATTCATTATTCATAAGCCGCTTAAAATTCACACAACCAATGCGGTCATTCGTTACAGCTATAGTGAGGTTAATTAGGAAATGTAGGTAAACCAAAACCGACAATATCATAAGTAAATAATACGCGTGCAAATAATATTAATACACAAATTAGAATCACGCGAACCGAGAATAATTCATTAATAAATAATAAGTAATTATTACAGTTATTATTGTATTAATAATCCTATTATATGAAATTTTTAATTTGTCATATACAGGATGTCCCACAATGTAACTTGAAGTAGATTTTTTGTTACTGCAGACTTATAGATATAAAAAAATCGAATACTTTTAAATGTAGTTAAAATTCTTGTCATTATATTTTAATTGCACATTATTTTTTTTATCATATATTTAAATTCCGTTGTTAATAAACAGATCAAAATAGTTTTCTAATAAAAATAGTTCGTTACGTTGTAAATAGATTTGGTAGATGCGTCTATGCGGCCGGTTATTTTTTTTCATTCAGCCACTGAGTTGAGTCACGGTCGTAAAATATCAAAAAATCGCTACAGATATTTGTGTTGAAGTGTGTTTGCTAACAAACAATGAATTTAATACAGTTTTATGTTTTTCTTACATAACGTTTTACTCATGATTTTTTTTATTTTGATGCACATAAAAAAATAAGCGCTATAATGATCCCATACTTCAAAAAATCGCTCGTAACGAAAGAACTCAATAAAAAATCATATTGTCATCTCTTTCAGTTCCTTTAAAAACACAGAGATAACCGTAAGGTTAGCTACTTGCAAAGGCCACGTTTAGTCACTATGAATCTTACTAATATTGTAAATGCGAATGTTTAGATTGATGATGTATGGATGTTTGTTCGAAGGTATGTCCAGAACGGCTGCATGGATCTCGCTGAAATTTGGCATAAACGTAGAACATAGTCAATAAGAACACATAGGCTATAGGACATCTATTATCAAAGAAATACTTACATTTATTCATGCATGCCCTGTACAAAGTCTTGGCAAGGACGAAGGGATGCGCTTCGTCTTTAGTTATCGGTTCTTCTAGCAGCGCTCGGATCTGTTCTTGTAGTTCATCGGTAATTATCGAGAATGTATTGACAGAGGATTTGTCGTCAGGTATACGAGTGTTCTTCTCGAAGGAACCGCAAGAGAAGCTATAGAAGTCATCGCAAGGGTCCACGCTTTGATCCATGTTTGATAGTAGTTTCGATGCTATAACAATACATTGATTATTTAGATTATCTTTATTGTAGATTATAAATCACAATATTATTGAAATTAATCATAACACTACGACTTAATGTAAATAGAATTAATTAAAACAAGAAAATATAATTAAAAATAATGATATTTACACGTGTTAATAATCAAAGGAGAATATTATCTGTTGTTATTAAAAATAACATAAATTAATATTTAATAGATACATGATACACTCACGACTAATTAGTCGTTGACGACACCGAGTTGTTGCGGACCCATCTTTAGGGTGAGTGACACAGGATGTTTATACGCGAGTGTTATCCCTTAATTAGTTAATAATAATGATCTAACGGAGCATCGGTGGCTCAGTGGTCAAGCACTTGACTTGCAATCTGCAGGTCCTGGGTTCGAATCCCGCCATGTACCAATGTGTTTTTCCATTTCCGATTTACATATGTACATTTATCCGACGTTTTTATCGTGAATGAAAACATCGTGATGCAACCAGCACATATCTGAGAAGAAATTCAAAGATACGTGTGAAGTCAACCAACCCGCACTTGGCCAGCGTGGTTGACTATGGCCTAATCACCCTTAACTTAGGGTAGGCTCCGAGCCCCTCGGTGGGGACGTTTAGTGAGCTGATGATGTCATGTCATGTGATGTCAATTATCTAACAAAATTTTGAAAAATTTAATGAAAAATACAGTTTTTACATCTATATCTTGGTTCGAATCTGATGATGCTATACTGGTGATGTCTCTTTCGTAAGACCGCATACATTTTAAGTCAAGCGAGCGTGTGTTTGTGTAATCATATGTTATATATTAGTAAATAAAATCATACCTGTATGTATACATCCCGGTGTGTAGCATATCTCGTAATCCGATCCATAAACTGCGGGCGGCATGGATTGAGGGGAAGAAAGTCTCATTTCACTAGTTTGTGGCAAGTCTATAATAAATTATTAAAATAAGCAAAACAAAAAAAAACAGATACAAAATCAAAATAATAAAAAAAGCGAAAAAATTGATACTTTAAATTACTAATAATGAATGTTCAAATGTTTATCACGAAAAAAATATTTACCATTAAACAAACTTTATAAGAAATAAGGTAAGGAAAGTAATTTATATTAGATTCGTTACGTGTTTTTAGGTAGTTTAGTACATTGATAACATAAAAAGGTAACAATACTAAGAGAATTTGAAGGTATAAAAAGCCTTTCTAAAAATATTATCACACATAATATATGCAGGTAAATCATGTCCGATTTATTTTAATGTACAATAATATATGTACGTATAAGGGAAATATGATGTGCAAATAAAAAGCGTCGCAGAAGTGTTGCTACGACCTCGTCGCGACTACACCGAGGCCGTCGTTTAAACTGTTTGATGAATTGATCGCTTCGATTCGACGAATCATTTCCTCGTATATTTTGTTCATTACTATTATGTTTACTATTCAGACTAGAGACAAGTTTACGAATGGACGTAACAGTAGTAAACATTCAAATGGTCCTTTGATGTGAATTCGATCTTAGGAATACTAAAGGGTTGATGGATGGATCTTTGTTAACAGGTATCTCCAGAACGGCATGAATCTCGCTGAAATTTGTAATAGACAGCCTGGAAGACGTAGTCTACTAATTATAATTCCGCGAGGATAGAGTCTCGGGCGACACCTAGTATCATAAAGTTTTAATGCTGAAGATTCCAATGTTGGAACTTGCTAAAATATTAGAATCTCTATTTTGTAAGAGAGGGATTTCATTGGGATTATTTCAGCAGTGGACCACGGTTACATAGTTACGCAGTTTGGTGTAACAATGCTGTAGTTAGCACATTTAACATGTCCAGTGTAAACAAACACGTAGGCGATGTTACAGGGTCGACTGTTACAGGAAAAATGAGATGGGGCCAAGTTCATGTCGAGGTCAAAGGTTTTTTGGTGCTTGTAAGTGTATGGTCGTTAAACTCCAAACAACGGCCAGTGTGGGAGGACATTTATTACTTTTATCAGATAATGTATTTCGTAAGTATGTCAAGACAATGCAAATTGTAACACTTTCTAATAAATTGAGTTTTCTATCTTTTCACGTAATCGTATATACATTATTAATATATTGTTGTACCAAAAGTGATAACAAAATTCATCTCATATAAGTTTTTCATTCGTACGAACATTATGGGTTATGCTTAGTGTGAAAACACTTTTCTATATAACTTAGTTAGTTCTAGTTCTTAAGTAGTATTTCTTCTAATATTGAGTCCTACATTGCATAGTAAACGTAACTGTTTACGTAATATTATAAGAGGTGTGACGCAAACATCCGTGCGCCATTTAAATCTCGTAAACGAGCGACAATTACCTTTCGATTTGCAAGTATATTAACAAAAACTCGTTCCAAACAGATTGGATATTACACTCTCGATTTTCGTGCACTGATTTCGTTTCCTAACGCCTTACTTAACTGTAGCGAAACGGTCACGACCGAGACGTGCGTTGGCTGCTGTAATAAGGGTCGCTGTACACGTTCAGACTCGAGTATTCGATACCTGCAACTTGCAATAGTCGCAGTCGCGAAAATAATAATTAGCCTACTGACTCAGAACAGTAATGTTTTTACGCATATGTACATATATACGCCTATTATGTAAGTTCCATTGTGATCCCCTGTAAACTAACTGAACCTATTTTGACAGCTTTTTTTATAGATTGGTTTCATCTAACACAGCCCGTAATTTACAATCGAGGGTAAAAATACTACAGTCCGTGTACAACAGTCCTAACTTGTAATTGAATCGGCTACCGCGCGTACGTAAATAACAACAGGTAGGTGATTGTTAGTGCTAGCCCTTGATTCGATTTCCAGTTCAGGCAATATTTTTTTGTGCTAATTAACATTCACAATTAAACTCTGTTGGTGTTTGTTATTTTAACATAATATCCGTTTATTCGTTATATATTTGAACACTTCTTATATTTCCGAAGCAATGTGGCCGTTTTTAACTTAAAATTATGTTGTCGTTTGGTTAAAAGTACTTTGGTTTATTTTTTTATAAAATTAATTAATCGATATATTTCGTTAGTAAAAATAATTAGGTTTATACTAGTTTATCAACTCAATATTTTTTTTTCTTTTCTAGATCCATGTTAGAGTTATTTGCCTTAACATCCTGTATAAACTACAGGATGTGATCGGGACACTGAGCAGCTTCACAATTAACTAGAACAGGATACACGCAGATATTGACTTCCTTTAATTAAGAGAAAGGAGAGATCGATCTAATTAAGAGATTAATAAAAATTCCTTACTTCAAATAATTATTCAGGGCCTATCAAGTAATATCATTAATTGGCAGTTGCTAGAGTCTGGTTTCTCTAAAATTTGTTCATCCACTGCTAGACCCAGCAGGGACCCTCATACATATATTTAGATTAACAATAATATATCTACCTGTATTACAATCCTCTGTTTTTACTTGAAAATACTTTAATACCTGATCCGCAATAGTTATTTCGGTCACGTGCATTGATTCTGTATAAACTTTATGCGAAGGTCATTAAACTTACGATAAAGTAACTGCGCGTAAATCTTATAAACGGGTAAAGACGACGAGTATGGAATCCACATGATGTACAGTCGAATATGTTCGCGGTGTCCCAGCTACAGAATCGTAAACCTTGCATCTTGCACTTAAAAACTGTCTTTTATTACAGCAATTATAGTGCTAACAAATTATAAATGCTATAACCTGGACTGTACAAGATTACTGTTTTGTGTATACGCAATTTTTGTAACATTGATCAATATCGTTTCAAGGTGTACTTCAAACGATTGTCGATTTTAAAGTGGCACACTGCGAACATTTGCGACTGTACCTCAAAATTATTTTACCTTTGATGACTACCTAGTTAATGTATTTATAAAATTCGCAGTCCTTGTGATTGCTATCACGTTTTAACATGACCGGCCTTGATTCACCTTTAGTTATAAGTTAATTTAAATACCTGTTTTTGTTTGAGAAACCCTTTTAAAGATCTTATAGTTATACAGTCAATAATTTTCGTTTGTAAATGGAAAATTTTCTTTGTTATCCTTATTGTTGGTCTCAGAGTAATTTAATGGTGATTTAAACAGTCGCATAAAGCTATCTCGGAACAATTCCACACTAAGGTGCGCCTTTAACCGCTTAATGATTAAGCGGGATTTAAGGGAACAAACGACTATCATGAATCAATTTAGAAGACGTAGTTAGATGAATAAATGAATTAAATAACTGAACACCTGACATACTGGTATAGACAACTCAACATTCATAACTTCCCAACAATGAAGCAAAATAAATAGTCTCAAATCTGAAATAAATAATCGCGCGTCTCACCACGGGCTGAATCTAGTATCTAGTTATCTATGATATTGAAGATTGTATAACTTAATGAGACGCCTCCCGAATAGAATAGTACATTGCGGTGGAGCACGACCTTTTCTTATCTCCATTTAGTTCACGATTCGCGATGAAATTTTCTCTAATTGCGTATTCAATGGTAGTGCCGCGGTCACTTGTGACCGGCTGTGAGTGTACACACCACGCATACGATAAACGCAGTTAAAAACAAAACAATACAAATATAAGTTTAACAACAAATATTTATCAAGGTCGCTCGGTAGTAGACCAATAAATCTAAAATTAATCTTAAATTAATAACACGATTTATTACTTAAAAAATCTGACTGTATAACAATCGAATAAGACGTTAAATCCTAGTTACCTGCTTGAAAAGCTACATAGAGCAAATAAATTTTTGATATAGATAAATTATCTACAGATTAACAAGATATTGAAACTGCGCTAATCAAAAAAACTGAAATTTCGTAAACATGAACTGATTTCTTAGAAATAGAAGCAATCTTGTAATAAATTAAGTAAAAAAAAAGCTATCTTGAAATTTGTCTATTTGATTTTTGTGTCATTTACGTAGTTTTTAAAATGTAAACTACTGTATATAGTTGTTTTTACGTGAGAATTTTTGTAAACATTTAAACTTTCATATAATCAATTGCACTACAGCCTCTTTTTCCATAAAAAATGTTTTATGGCACATAATAATTAATATGACGAAACACGTGAGGCAATTTTAACTACTTTAATACGTATGTATAATAAGATTCAAACTTTATGTCGGCTCGTGATTAAGGAGTGCATGAATGCGCACTGGGTGAAATCGGCATATGGAAGGATAGCGCTCATGGCTATACTCCCCACACCTTAACACCACATCACAACTTAATGTCGGGTAGGATCGTAGTGAAGTGCTAGTTTTAACTTTATAAAATAATAGCGAGCATCTATAAAGCTTGTAGAGCGGTATACTTACAGTTGATTCTATTAGAACGCACGTAGATGGCGGCTAGGAAGGCGAGGAGGAACGCGATGGCCATTATAGAGATGACCACGCTGGCAACGATTAGACGCTTCTCCAACAGCGTCCTCCGAGCCCAAAACGAAGGCCTAAAAATAAATACAATCAATTAGTTACATATACGTGACTAAGAGCATCTTATTTCTTTTTTAAAATTATACATTGCTTACTTAATCTACACTAAGGCACTATATTATTAAGGCATTTAAGATTACATTTTAATCGTATATAAAGCCAGCAGGACAATTATCCTTACATTAACTCAACGTCCAAGAGTGAGGAGCCATAGACTAAAGAGAGAATTTAAAATAAAAAAAAACAAACGTTTGTATGCCTCTATGACTTTCTACAACACTGAATAGCTTTATTAATCTTTGGCAGGATGATGCAACAGGTTTAGATCCTAAATTTAAAAAAAAATGAACTTTGACAATAATTTTAGCGAGATGAATGGATATTACAGTTATTTACGAACAAAATTAATATAATGTTATTAGTATTAATGTAATTTAATATAGAGGCAGCGATGAAAGCAAATCTTTATTGTGAACACAAGTAAATTGCTTCTAAATTTCCAATTTGTAATGCTTATTGGATTTGCGCGTTGCTTCGATTCGTCTCAGAATTGTGGGGAGAGGGACGCACTCTGGCGACGTATATTCAAGATCAAAAACCGTGTTCAATAAATAATCGACCAGTTTCGATGACATCAATTTCTGACACAATTATAAAGTCAAATCAAAACATTGTGGTACTAGTAGGCCACGGCAGATGTTATCACACCTAACTGTATTTTAAAAACTTGTGTCATAGTTTATTTAAAAATAACAGTATTTTTTTTAATTCTAACCTCTTTACTGTTTGAAATATGTATATTGGTAATAAAGTTGCCAGCTATTCATTTCAAATGTAATCTAGTAGGTCAATATTTTGTACTCTAGAATTATAATAAACATAATTTTTCGCTTTACTAATATTATTAATATTCTTTATTTATTATTCGCTCGCTTGTCCACGCATTTCTCTTCTCGCCAGTTTGAACTCATTTTAAAATCATAACTTCATATCACGTCGTAAATAAACAATAAAATTATTAATATCATGGCTATTTCTTTAGCAAATCGAGCTTTTGTGTTTAAAATAAGTACAAAGATTATATACATTTGTAAGGTTTTAAATGGAAAAAATGACGTCACTTACAAAAATAGGATGCCATAAAATTTAGACTAAATTCAGGGTTCCATTTTCGCTTTGTTTACAAATCTCTGTGTTAAACACGAGTTAAAAGAACTTTATTAATTTTTACCTAAATCACGCGCGTTTTGGCGCAACGTCTACAAATAGAAATAACGTTTTGTTACCACAAGAACATTAATACACAACACATTACTCTGTTCACGCTCCGCGGCGTACGATAACGACATACAAATGCTATCACGCTTTTATACCTTATTTGAGTGAACAGATTTAATAACCTAATATAAATTACATCCCAAAATTGAGATTTTTCTGTTTAAAATTGAGTCACATATTTTAGTAGTGTGGTTATTATAAAAGGATAAAGACCAGGACAAACTTAGTTTGTAAGCGAATATAATTTCAATATTATGTATTTGCATTGAGAGCGTCGGTGGCTCAGCGGTAAAGCACTTGACTTGCAATCTGCAGGTCCTGGGTTCGACTCCCGCCATGTACCAATGTGTTTTTCGATTTCCGATTTACATATGTACACTTATCCGACGTTCTTACGGTGAAGGAAAATATCGTGATGCAACCTGCACATATCTGAGAAGTAATTCAAAGATATGTGTGAAGTCAACCAACCCGCACTTGGCCAGCGTGGTTTACTATAGCCTAATCATCCTTAACTTAGGATAGGCTCCGAGCCCCTCAGTGGGGATGTTTAGTGAGCTGATGATGATGATGATGATGTATTTGCATCAGTTTTTTGGCAATGGAAATCAATGGTTTACAAACTTTTTACGACCTTTTTTCTTTCAAGGAAGACACCATTCAGAACAAATAGTAATTTGATTGTTGATTTTGTGAAATGATACTTTTATTTTAACGTTTTTCTTAACGATTATTTGTTTTTATTTAGAGATTATGATTTAATTCGGCCGATGTGAGCCAAGCTTCAGGGTCTGGGTCGATGAACCATTGACGATGCAACTCTGGACTCGTTTCCATAGGGCCACTTTCTCTGACGGCATTTAGATATGCCCTTATCTCAACAGCTACTAGGAAAACAACAAATTGCCTTAAAATGCACGCCACGTTAAAAATTACTAGGAATTTAATTTGATATGGAGTTTTTAAAATTATTTATGCTTCAATATTCACTATATTTAATATATTATATTATATAAGATGGTTGTGAGTTTGCACTAATACTAAAAAGTTTATTTTTTACAGGTAAATCATAGGTCAGAGATGCCATCTAACAATGGTACCCCATTTCTTCTGCGCCCGAGTTTACATATTTTCCATTTCTCTTTCATGAATTTCGTAAGAAATTGTGGTTTATTTGACTTTGTGGAAGTTATAGATTCTGAATTGCTACTTGCTAATTGATACAGCTTGCGAACACCACTTCAATGATAGTCATACACTTTAAGAGAATTTATATGTATTGGAGCCAGTAGCAGCGTTAGGGTACGTAGCGACCACCTAGGGCACTGCGCTTAAGGGAGCTTCGCTGGCGCCAGAGTCGTTCGTAAAGTGGAGCCTTCGGTGCTTCGTAAGCTACCCTGTCGAAGGAAGATTTCCCCCGATACCAAAAAAGGGGGCGCCACAAAAATCTCGCCCAGGGCGCCGGAGATGTTATAACAGGCCCTGATTAGAGATGTCATATATTAATTATATACTTATGTATATGTAATCAGTGTTATCAAGAGACAATATTGTTACGGCTACGAGAAGACATTCTGTTTTTCCCATTTACTTAGTCATTTCTTTAAATATTGTAAAGGTCACGTTGGAGTAATGAGTAAGTTATCAAATTACTGAATTATTAATAATACATTGGTCAATATCAAGGGAATTTCCCAGTTGAGTATCATATGATGAATTATATTGAATTTGTGCATCAAAGGTGGGTAAACCACGAAACCACTTTTGATGACGAAGTTTTATGTCCTAAAAAACCGTTTGATATGAAGAGTATGAATAGGCACAATGGTGACAAAAAATAGCTAAATGGTCACTTCATTGCATCGATTTGAACTTTACATAGCACGGGGATTGATTCAAAGTGCAGAGTTTTTTTTAATAAAATTAATATCATGATGAATGCTACTACTTTACTAACGCTTTTACCCACAAGCCAAACTTTTAGAGTGCTTAATATTTAGTTTTTCTGTTTAATTACGTTGATGTACCATGTTAGTTAATAGATATTAATTTATAACAAAATAAATAAACCTTTTTAAAATTAGACTAGATAAAACTTTCTTTTAACTAAAACTACTCTGGTGAGGTATTCGTTTCGATCAATAAGTCGATTGATGGATACGAACCTATGACCACGTGATCGTTAGTCCGTATATATAATCAATTTGTAACTGGTTATTTTGAGATTATGTTAAAAAAAATGTTTTTGAAATTCTCGGTGTTTTGGATTTTACTTTTTATATTTGATGCTGGCTGTTTGTTTTCCTTTACGATAACGAAATATAGTTGACAGCCAAGTATCAATAGATTAAGATAAAAGCGGGCACGGACTTTACGGTACTCGGTGACCGGTTACGCTTAATCGTGAAGAATAACTTAAGGAATACACATCATAAGGCATTGAGTATCGAGTTCATTGAACCCGCTCGCCTCCTGGGTCAGAGCGGACCGTTAACGATATAGACAGGACACTTCGATGTAAATCTAATAAATATGTTCACACTTTTTTATAACGCTTGTGTTAATTTCATTCTCAAGGTCAATTAAGTGGGTGAGTAGATCTTAATCGGTATTAAAAACATTTTACGAGTTCCGACAAATCAGGTTTTTAATCATTATGAATAACCGTAACTGCTATTCATTATAGTATTTTTATAGATAACTACCTGTGTCCCGTGACTCCGTCCGCGCGGGTTTTTTTAAACTCTATCTAGTTTTTACTAGATAGTAGCCGATTGTTAGACGTACTGAATATGTATATAAAAATCAATCAAGCAGTTTCGGAGGAGTGTAGTAGCTATACGTGACAATATAATTTTATATATGAGATATCTAATTATAAAATCGTTGTTAACCATGTCTATCAAGTGTAACGGGTTACAATTTACTGGGACACAATTCACCTATCGAGACCATAGTATGTACCTAGTCAGTATAGCGCATACAAAACGGTACCGCACCGTAACTTGTGTTCTATATTTTTTGCGCGACAGCAAAAACTCTAATGTGGTCGCAAACCGGCCCTCTTGTGACATATGTACGTTAGTTTACCGTTATTTCTATACAAATGTTATAGAAAGCGCATTTTCACTTCTTTACATTTCTTTATATAAATGGTGGCAAATAAGTAAAAGGTTTATCTGGAATTAAATGATCGAGTGATCTGGAACGCGCTGAAAGATATCCGATACGTTAGTTTATGTAACCAACAAAAGCCGCTCTTCCTATCTATCTCCATTTACCTCCATTATGTGAACGGAATGAGAGCATTTTCTCTTTAAACCTCTTTTGTTTTTTGTAAAAAATGGAGTGACTGTTGTATGTTTTTCAGTTTCCATCGCCGGAAAACTTGTATATATAACATAAATTCTATTTATTCTCTTTAAATAAACAAAGTTGCACTGTATGCTTTGAACTAGCAATATGAAGCCCACTGCAAAAGCGAGATTTTATTAAGCTCCTGCAACGTCCTCTATTATTATTACAGTTTCGCATTCTGCGAGCTCCTGGAATAATAGCTTTTATCTGAACGAGATGAGGGAATACTGACAAGTTTTACTGTATTCGTTTGGTTTCATTTAATCTTCTCATCGTCTATTACATTTTCTATAAGCTAGATAAAGGTGCAAAAGCTGAGCGATTAGGGTGGCCATGATTTGTCCAGTTTTTAGTAACTAGGCATTTATGAATTACGACGAATCACGTGACAACTTGATGACGTCATCAACTGTATAACTTCATACGTCAAACATGATTTTTTTCTATGACATTATTTTGTAATGTTATCGTAAGGATTGAAAGTGATTAAATAAAATAAGTGTTTTTTTTTCTTTAAATTTAAATGTTAAAAGTGCAGAGTAGCCAGAGTTCACTTTAGTACTGCCCTTTTCCTCTAAATAGTCCTATACCACTGGGCATAATTTAATTTTGCTAATTTTGCTTCTAAAATCTATGTATATAAAAAATTATATATACAATAAACCGCTGAATGGATCTCGCTGTAACTTTGCATAGATGTAGAACATAGTCTGGAAGAACACAGGCTAATTATTATGTTTTATTTTAATTACGCGCGGACGGATTCGCGGGCGACAACTATTCTAAAAATAAATAGATCTAGTTTTTATTATTTCAGTTTTTCTAGTAATTAATATAAAAATATCTATATGTGAGTAAAAACATTATTATATTTAAAAAACATTATCGTGTGCGTGAGTGCAATGACGTATTCTATGCACACAAACACACAGACAAGGATACAAGTTAGTGCTATTAGTGGTCGGCTGCGGTTACGCAAGCAGCGCTAGGCACAAACCATGTAATGCTTACGAACAACCTGCTGGCTATTACTTAAGCATTGCAACTTATTTTACTTAATATTCCATACAATTCGTTATGAGACATTGGTGAGAAATTTTACGTTTTGTAAGGAAGATTTCAAACGAGGAAACAGATTACTCAAACTTGTGTAGGGCCACTGCAGGTCATAGCTCTTTCCTGATTCCTTCCACAAAATGCGGTTCTCCGCATCCAGCGAATTCTTGTCGTCTGCTCTAAGGCTAAGTTGTTTTTCAGACAGCATTCTTCCATATTGACCAACGCCTACAAGCTACGCGTTTCTTTTCTTTTTTTTGGACTGTATTCCAGAATTCTATCCATGATTATTCCTACCTACCCCCTGGCGTTACTAGCTATTGCAACAAGCTATTGAAATGGTGTCAAAAATTTTATTATCTTTGAAAAAAATATAAACCACAACACAATACCTAAAGGTTCTTCGTGCACTGTCAAATCCACGGTAATGGTTTTAAAATTGTCTCGTACAAGTTTACGGCGACATAAAAGATTCGTATAAATGTAGTGTAATGCTCGTAAACTGGTTTACAATCCAACGTAAACTAAATGGATTAATCAAACTCTTACATAACTACTTACTCTTACTTTCATTTCATAATACTACAGCAAATTAAATATGCTTTATCAATTTATTAATGACAAAAAAACAAGTTTTTCCTTATTCGTATTTTTCAATAGATCAATAAAATCGGTCACTATATAAGTTTTAATAAAATTTAATAATACTTTCGTTTATATTTTTGATTACTTCTCTTTGTCCGCGTGTTGCTGAGATAAAGCTGCAATAGTAACGCTAACAAAACCATAAAGGATTTTTTTTTAAACATGAAATAGTTAATACTCTTTTGCACACAATTTTTTAAATTACCTAATTCATTTTATAACCATCCTGTATATATACTAAGAGTCCGTGTTTTATACAAATCACCGATATTATTGTTACAAAACGGTTTCTATGTTTTTGTCAAAACAGTAGCTAAATAAAAATACTATCTTAAAAGTAGACTCGAGATCGTAATACCAATAAAACATTTTTATTTTAAATAGCCGCGGTGTTGAAACTCTGCCAGACTTTTATAGTTTCGAAGAGAACATAATAAAAAAGTGAATAAATATCATCGGCACACTAGCGCCGTTGTAGCCCGCCTAAAGTGCTTCGCGTATTATCTGTTTTCTAAAGGTATGTATGTGTTCATTGGCTAGCGTCGAACGCATCGTAGGCACAGCCCGCAACAAATTAAACAGATTTACCGATGTTATGGATCCACTGTACCCGGATTTTTTTTGTATAGCTACCAGTGTTTTCTTGTTGTGAGTTGACGTATTCTGTCACAACACAAGACGTGCAGCAGTTGGAGATGTCAGCGGCTAGCTGATTTGTGTGACGTCACTGGCACGCAACGCAATTTTTATTCATAAATGCCGGCTTATGCTGCGGGCGGAGCGGATGCTAGACGCAGAGCTATGTAAAATTACATATAGCAAACTAAACTAAAATCCATTGCGTGTCGTGCGTGCGGTGCATCTCGCGTGGACCAATGGATGCGTACCTTAAGTATTTCGTACTATAAAAACATTAAAATAATGTCATGCATTACATTATTAATTTCAATAATTTAAACTTACGCATATTCATGATTGTGTTCAGTCGTAGTCCAGTTTTGTAGCAGTAAACAAACATTTCAAATGAATAGAGAGACATTTGTAAAGTTTGAAGACAGCATCTACAGTAGAGATAGTTGTTCGAAGATAAAACAGATAGATAAACAAAACTTACTTGACGCTGTCCCTCATTGCAAAGCTTCGAGAGTTGTTGTATTCACCGCGCCCACTGCAACAACAAATTAATTAATTAATAATACTATCAATGTGGAAAGGAAATAAAATTCTTATATAGTACATATAAAATTCGAAAAACACATAAATGATGAGAAACCTAATACCACAAGTATCAGATTAAGATGGTGTATAACAAAGATTTGATTCAATAATTAACCAAGTCGGAAACCGTAACCTACTTGACTTCATCCTTAACATCCTGCGTTTGTATTAAGAGGAAGTAACACCCGCCCTTGACTACTCATTATCAGCTCCACAGTCATTTATTTACACAACCACAATTAACTACATACTATTTTTATAATGTACTAGCTGTCGCCAGCGATATCGTACGCGCGGAATTATAAAAATTCTTAATCAAGAGCCTATGTGTTCTTTCAGACTATGTTCTAAACGTATGCCAAATTTCATCGATTTGAAGATGCCTCCTAACAAAAATTCATCCAGACATTCGTATTTATATAATATTGATTTTTAAATTATATTTATTGTAAAAAAAATACTTTTTATAAAATATCCAACAAAATATTATGTTATGGTAACTATAAATAATTATACATTTTTTTGTTACATCGTTACAAAGTAACGAGATTCATACCAACTAAGAAAAGTATATATCTGACAATTGTACGAAACTTTATTTATGCACTAATAACATAGTGCCAAATGTATACTTTGTGTACGCGTAATGTAGTGGTAACGAGATATTTCCTACTTCGGCCGACTTCGCAACACTTCCGCGACTTGTAGTTACTACTGTTTCTTACATCCCGTCGCATCGTCGTCGCCAGTATTGTAGAAACTAGAAATATTTTCACACGCTTTTACAAACAGTTTATAACAAACTTATATCAGTACTAGCTGTCGCCAGCAACTCCGTCCGCGCGGTATTAAAAACATAATTAGTAGCCTATGCGTTCTTCCAGACTATGTTCTATATGTATGCCAAATTCCGTTGAAATCCGATCAGCCGTTCTGGAGATAACTTCTAACAAACATCCATCCATCCAAACATTCGCATTTACCATATAATATTAGTAAGATAGGTAATTTAAATATATCAAAGATTTTTATACTTTATACGTTTATTTGTTTGAGTACGCAATAACATTATGTTTGTATTATTTCAATGTAATTTGCGGTAATAACTCAATCTAACCGTAGACGTCTTACAATCAAGATGCTCTTGTGTAATATTATAAAGAAATAAATATAATATAATCATTGCTATAATCATTTCAAACCAGATCTTAATTAGAATATAATCTTACTAATATTATAAATCCAAATGTTTAGAAGGATGTTTGTTAGAAGGTATCTCAAGAACGGCTCAACGGATCTCGCTGAAGTTTGGCATATATATAGAACATAGTCTAGAAAAACACATAGGCTACTCATGAGTTTTTTTACTTCCGTGCGGAAGGAGTCGTGGGTGACAGCTAATTATATAATAAATGCGAATGTTTGGATGTATTGATCGATGGATGGATGTTTGTTAGAAGGTATCTCCTAAACGGCTGCATGTATTTTGCTGAAATTTGGCATAAACGTGGAACATAGTGAGGAAGAAGGCTACTAATTAAGTTATTATTTGAATTTGGCACGGATGAAGTCGCGGACGATAATTACAATGATAATTTTTCAATCGTAAAGTCGTGCACTTTTATTAAGCCCTGTGTATACTTGGGACAGCCTCACTATACTTGGGATCGCAACCGGATTATCTAGTAAACTAGATCTCCTTTCTACATAATTGTAGAGGAAGACCGGCAACTATGTGCATTGCAGAGCTAGCGCCCTCTTTGCAATCAAATGACTAGGAATCAGTAATTTGTATTTTAATTATTTTCATCATGGGAAAGTAAATCGATTTCGAAAGTTGTTTATGAATTTCATATCTTTTAATTTACTACTAAAATGTTGTTATATTTTTTTTTATAACAGAAGGTGGCAAACGAGCAGCGGGAACACCGAGGTGATCAACGATGCCCATGGACATCAGCAATACCAGAGGAACCGCAGATGCGTTGCCGGCCTTTGAGGTGGTGATAAGCTCGCTTCTTGAAGGACCCTAAGTCGTAGCGGTTTAAAAATACCGCCGAGGAAAGACCATTCCACATTTATAGTGCACGCTGATGTGCGAGGCAGGAAATTTCGCGCAAACCGTACGATTGTGGATTGCCAGCCATGGAACCGGGCGGTCTGTTATTTAGTTACTTTTAATAGTAACCGACGTAAATCAACGTTCACAGACTTACTCATTGGTATTTTGTATTTCTACTATGCAATGAAATACATGTTAATAGTGAGATATATTATTTAACATATCCATCTAAATTATAATATCAATAATAAGACATGTCAGAAAAACTATGTACAAACATTGGACGATTGGGCAGCAACGTTTGATACGTTTGGTACTAACGCATGTCACACACGTTAGGTTTTACATATTTCTAATTTGTGTGGATTGCATTACTCAAGCCCTTTTCATTATCAAGGTTGTTAGTCGAAGATTGAACATAATAAAGGTCGCATGTTCCCAACCCTGTGGTATAAATTCTTCGCGTGGTCACGAACATGGAATGCTTTTCTGTTTATTTGTTTATTTACGTAATATGTACAATTATAATTCTCACAATCTAATTGGAAAACCTTTGCGTGATGTCACACATAAATACGTTCACCACTATAACAGTTTTTTTTAAATTATATAATTGATTTAATGTAATAACTATAATTAAAAATACCTTAGTTAAGTTCGCCGTAAATGTAATTCAACTTACATTTCTGGTGAGTAAATTTCTTAAAATAATTTGTATGTAAATCGGTTTCTTGCAGTGAAATTTACATTGAAACGTATTGTCATCCTACACATACACTTTGAGAAAACAAAGACAAGAATATGTCTCCGTACACGTGTCACAGCAGTAGGAATTAATCGGTTTATTTAATAAAAAATCAGGACTATCCTGTAAGACTGATGGTTACCATGTCTAAGGCAGGTCGAGGCTAGTCCAGTTCTTTTGTGCGTGTTGAAATTAAACCATACCTATGATTGCTTATATATCCTTGATTTTATACATTGAATACTTGATTGAATACATATACTCTAAATGTAGTAAATTAGGTCGTGTCACGCGTGTGATCATCAGTAGGTTAGGATCTGGTAGGGGCGACATAAGGTGATCCACAGGCGTCAAAGTCGGATATAAAGGGGCGCCTTAAGTGGCCCCGAAAATCCTCTGTATGGAAGAATTCCTCCGATATCACAAAAAGAGGGCGCCGCAAAAATCTCGCTCATGGCGCCGGAAATGCTAAAATCGGTCCTGGTGACCAACATGATTGTGTTTGGGATATTATAATGTTATTCTTTTGACATACATAAATATAAAGAACTTCGAAAATAGTTAGCGAATTTTGATGAAAATTTCCTTTATCAACTTAGTCCGTGTAAAGTCGGGGTGGATCTAGTGTTTCAATTAAAAGTTACGGTACATAAAATAAGTTTTCGGGTTTTGTATAAAATTTAAATTAAGTTACATCGAACAGTCGATATTTGTATTAGTTAAGTTTGTTACTTTTGATTATTATATTCTTTATTTTCTCATGTTTACTTGGTTACCCCGGTATATTGTTTATACCTTGCTAGTATTGTTTTTCCGATGGCATTGTGAATAACTATAAATATTTAATATAATGCATTATTCGCCAACAGATGGGAAACAGAAAAACAATCACAAAACTCATTGCCAAATTACACATGACACCGCTTGAGACAATCATCAAAACAATACACGAAAATATAAACGTATAACAATAATTTAACTGAAATGCACAGACTTAAAGTTTGCTTGTTTATTAAACGTGTTATTGTACGCAGATTAACGCACCGTGGAATCGACCCGTAAGTGATAGAACAGCATTTAATATTCCACGTGTATCCAATAGTTGTAATGTGTAGTTGCAACATACTTTAAGTATTAGACGGTAAATTGCTACATCTACAAGATTCCGTAGAGACCGTAATTATGCTGTGCGTAACCACAAATTGATCTGTTTGATGACCAGTTCGCATATCATACGAGCCGCTTCTGCTAATATTTCCAGTTATTTCAATTACATTTATAGTTAGGTATTATAAAGAGAAAATATATAAGTTTCGATATAACCTTGGACAAAAATACTGCATTGTCTATGGCCTAGAATAAGACTATTGAGAAAGAATTGACTAATTTTGTCTCTGTCTTTTCAAAAGAGAATGAGAGGGATTAAAATGTACAGTAAGTGTAAATTTTTATTTAAAATAACATAATAACAAACATAAAAACAGACTTACGCGCAAATAACTTTACCCTGTTTGTCGATCGGATAATAAAAAGAACAAGGTTTTCAATTCGTTTTTATATTTATTCAACAAGATAAAATGATGGAAAATTGTTACTTGCATCCTCATGTCCTGTAGCTTTTACAATTATAGCGAAACCATTATAACAGTTTCGCATGTACGTTCATGTCGACCGGTTTGTATTGCGACTGAATCACACGTGTCATCTTAAAGCTAATTAAATAATGAACCCAATAAGTAATTCATAAAATTGATATGAATATTATTTCAACTAGCTATAGCCTGCGACTCCGTTCGCGCGGAATTAAAAAAAAATCTTAATTATTAAACTATGTGTTCTTCCAGACTATGTTCTACAAATAAACATCCATCCATACATCTAAACATTCGCATTTATAATATTAGGAAGAAATAAGACAGTAAGATCATGTATCAGTTCGAAATTTTTTTTTTTGAGAACGAAAAAGGAAAAGGCACCAAAATATATTATTATGAATTTCCTTAGTCGGTATAGTGGAATAGACTTAGGTTTTATAGTTAGATTAGGTTTAATATCCTAAGCACCTAGCCGTACAACCGCCTTGCTAACACACTGGTGTTTCCACTGAGGCAGCCGCTACTACAGATACGAAATAACGCGCGTC